TAAATGACCTCTAAACCTCCAGATAGCTTTGAAAGTTATAAAACTATAGATTGGAACTTATTTTCTATTCTTTCACCCCAGGATTTTTCCCCTAGCCACGATCAGCATTCCTATGCAAATATGAGGATTGTCCAATTTCAGGTTAGCAATGGAGAAGTAAGTCTAAAACCAGTATGCCACATATTAATAGTTTACCCAATCTATAAAGTACTATTTAATTCATGAAAGTATGAGGTAGATCTAAACATAGCTTTTCTAGAAAATATACATTGAAAAATAAATCCTTTAAGACATCATATTTGCAAAGATTCAACTATTTGCTGGAAATAGCCAAGAACACCAACATTTAAAAAGCATTTTACCTAGGGGCACCTGGGTGGCTCATTTGGTTAAGTGTCCGACTCTTGATATCAGCTCAGGTCTTTTTCTTTTTTTTTTTTGAAAGATTTTATTTTATTTTATTTTATTGACAGAGAGAGACACAGCGAGAGAGAGGGAACACAAGCAGGGGGAGTGGGAGAGGGAGAATAGGCTTCCTGCGGAGCTGGGAGCCCGATATGGGGCTCGATACCAGGACCCTGGGATCATGACCTGAGTTGAAGGCAGATGCTTAACCAACTGAGACACCCAGGCGCCCCTGAGCTCAGGTCTTAATCTCAGGGTCGTGAGTTCAAGCCTCAAGTTGCACTCCATGCTGGGTGTGTAGCCTACATACATAATACAAAAATGATAAAAAGCATTTTCCCTAAATGTTCTAAATAATAAGTTAGTTATAGGATGAATATGTCTAATTACCTATAACTTATAATATCTTAACATTATAATCTACCTGAGACAATAATAAACTTTATAAAAACAGACATCTAGTTTTTATTTTTTTAATTTTTTTAAAGATTTTATTTTATTATTTGACAGAGAAAGACACAGTGAGAGAGGGAACACAAGTAGGGGGAGTGGGAGAGGGAGAAGCAGACTTCCCGTGGAGCAGGGAGCCCAATGCAGGGCTCAATCCCAGGACTCTGGGATCATGACCTGAGCCGAAGGCAGACGCTTAACGACTGAGCCACCCAGGCGCCCCCAGACATCTAGTTTTTAAAGCATATAAAGTATCATATGATTAAATTTAACCCAATAAGCTAAAATAGGTCAGAGGAAGAAATACATATTCTTATATTATTGATAGGTCATCAGGGTTTCATCATTGTGAAAAAGAAAAGATTTAAGTCCTTCTTGGATCACTGTTCTTGTTTATTTCATTAACTAGTTATTGCAAAACACATGCCTCTTGGCTTTCAAGGACTTTTAAAATCTCTGCCAACATTTTTCACACACTGCAATAAAACCCAAGATTTTCCACCTCATTCCTTAATGCCCATGAATATTAACTACCACATGATTTTGATTCCTATTTCTTTTATGACTGTATATTCCCAACTCACTTAATGTACTCACTCATTCAGGTCAGCTGAACAAAAGTTCTTAGTACAGAGTTACTTAGAAGAGTTGTTCACTGATCACAGATACCCTGTGAATTAATTTACCATGGAAAAGTGAAGTCCTGCTTCCCGTGGGTTTGTAAAATAATCTAAAATAGTAATATCTTAAACACATTAAGTCACTGTAACTAGGGGATGGAAAATTCAGGTGGCCCTTAGAATATTTTGATAGGTTTTGAAAAGAAATGTCCTATTTGAAAAGAAATACTGTCTTTTGGCACTAGGCCAATTTGTTATTTCAGTGAGTTGGCCTGCTCACCTCCTTTTGTCTTCCCAACTCATAAAAATATCTGAAATAACCTGATACAAAGTTGCCATGTAAAAACATAAAATGTTCCAAGCTACAAAGTTTAAATTTCTCTTTCTACCTCTCAATTGTCTGGTAAAACCTCAAGCAGGCTAAATATAAGAATATCCAATAATTCCATATACAACTGCAATCTTTAGCATACTCTTTTTTTTTCCCCTTCCCTAATACTCTAGTAAACACTCTGGATCCAGCAGCCTTTGTAAAAGCCAGTGTGTTGTAAGCACTGCCTTGAAACAACACATTCTCTCAGCCTAACTTAAGGCCAGAATTAGTAGTCATAGTTCTGGGATCAGATCCAAAAAAAAAGGTTGCTGGGGAAGTGGGGAGAGGAGAGGAACTGTTGCAAAGTATGTTAAATTCATTTAAATATTTGTGTAACTTCTCATCTGGCAACTTTTAGAAATTCTAATTGTGTAAGTGCAGATTTACTAATTAATGGTTGGTATCTGCGATTGGGTACAGAAATTGATGAAGCCTGATGACTACTTTTCCAGGGATCATCACTGTTCAGTTGTCACTGTCCGGTTATATCACACAGGTTACAGCATAGGGAACAATGTGACTAGATGATGGTGACAGGTTGTAAAAGTACCAACATTACAGCAGTGACAAGACTAGATGGTGAAATCTTGGTCTACAGCTCTGTTCAGAATTTCTTACCCTGAAGTTCATAGGGAGGCTATGGATGGGTTCTTGGATTCTGTAACTGAAACTGCTTTCAAAATTTTGTGTTTATGTGCATCTATTTAGGGAGAGAATCTACAGGCTTCCATAAAGTTTTTAATTATATTATCTAATTTAATCCTCAGAAGCAATATGAGGGAGGTAGTATTATTCTATTATTCTTATTTTAACTATTTTAACTAAATAAGAATACTATTATTCTTATTTTAACAGACTGAGGATTTTTTTTTTAAACTTTTTTTTTTTTTAAGATTTTATTTATTTGCGAGAGAGAGAATGAGAGAGAGAACATGAGAGGGGGGAGGGTCAGAGGGAGAAGCAGGCTCCCTGCCGAGCAGGGAGCCCGATGCGGGACTCAATCCCGGGACTCCAGGATCATGACCTGAGCCGAAGGCAGTCGCTTAACCAACTGAGCCACCCAGGCGCCCCAGACTGAGGATTTTGAAGCTCAAGGGAGATAAAAACTTTTCCTAAGGTCACAAAGAAAGTGGTAGAGAATTGATTTCAAAAATGTCTTTGAGGGCGCCTGGGTGGCTCAGTCGTTAAGCGTCTGCCTTTGGCTCAGGTCATGATCCCAGGTCCTGGAATCGAGCCCCGCATCGGGCTCCCTGCTCTGCGGGAAGCCTGCTTCTTTCTCTCCCACTCCCCCTGCTTGTGCTCCTGCTCTCGCTATGTCTCTGTCAAATAAATAAATAAAATCTTTAAAAAAAAAAGTCTTTGAAACACGCATATACATATATACATATGCAATGTAATAGCTATTCAGAAGTTATTTTAACTATAAAATAAGGGTTTTACATTACTGTATATGGACTAAAACCAGATTATGGGTAAAATATGCAATTTAAATTAGTAATATGTAATACATATTACTTGTACAATACATTGTATTGTATTGTACAATACATTGTATAATACAATGTAATTAATTACATATTAATACATTGTAAATGATTGTATAACAACATATAGAAATACATATAAATTTTAACATGTGTCGTGCTTTTTTTTTTTTTAAGATTTTATTTATTTATTTGAGAGAGAGAATGAGAGAGAGAGCATGAGAGGGGGAGGGTTAGAGGGAGAAGCAGACCCCTGCCGAGCAGGGAGCCCGATGCGGGACTCGATCCTGGGACTCCAGGATCATGACCTGAGCCGAAGGCAGTCGCTTAACCAACTGAGCCACCCAGGTACCCATCATGTGTCATGTGCTATTTTACACACTTGACATATATTACCTCATTTAGTTCTCACAATAGGTTTTTTTTAAATATTTTATTTATTTGTCAGAGAAAGAGAGAGAGAACACAAGCAGTGGGAGCGGCAAGCAGAAGGAGAAGCAGGCTCCCCGCTGAGCAGGGAGCCCGATGTGGGGCTCGATCCCAGGACCCCAAGATCATGACCTGAGCCAAACGCAGACACTGAACCGATTGATCCACCCAGGCGTCCCTCACAATAGTTCTATGAGGTAGACACTATCATTATCTCCATTTTATAGATAAGGAAAAAGAGAAAAAGAGAAGTTAAGTAATTTGCCCAAGGTCACATGGCTAGTAAGCTGCAAAGTCAAAATTCTGGCTCCAAATCTGTACTCTTTACTATACTATTACTTCTCCAAACACTTAATATATGAAAAATTTAAACTATGGCCACTCTAAAGGAAAAAAAGAGAAAAGCCAAATAAGAATCCAATCTGGAAAAGTCTATCATGTTTCATATATTCTATTTTAGCACATATGAACCAAGAGCAATGAGAAAAGACAAATCTAGAAATTATATTTGCATGCTACTTTCACATGCACAACCTCATTTGATTTTCACAGCTGTGTGCACAGGGCAAGTGTTATTTGTCCCACATCTTAAAGATGAGTTAAATGATGCTAAAAAGTTAATCTCACCACTCATCATTACCTGATGTAACCTGTAATCAGGTAATGAGGAGCGACTTCCTGTGCAGTTTTCCCTCTATTGGAATATCTGTCCTTCTCTGTCTAGAAAAATTCAACTATACATTTGAGTCCCAGATCAGATGTGACCCTCAGATATATTTTTCCAGACACTTCTGGGCAGAATTAACCCTTTTCTCTAAACTCCCTTAACATGATTTGTACCCTTCCACCAGCATAGCAATCATTCTCTTTCTTATCAGCTGTGTCTATGTCTAGTTCCCTGGGCAGACACAGGGCTCCATAATGGCAAGGGCTACATGTAAGAGAAAGGATCCTAGGATTTCACTGCCGAATTAGCAAAAGGATAAAGCAGAACACTAGCAGCCTGGCTAAGAGAAACATGGATTCATGCTGACATGCTGTTGTCATCTTCGTAACTTAAGAATTTGTCCTCAAAGTTAGTAGCATTACCCCCAAACACTTCTAGAGATGCTCCCTGCATAATGCTTGGGAAGTGTCTGGACAGACAGCCACCTGAAATAGTAACTCCTCCTCTCTTCTATGCTACTAATCCCTCAAATATATTGTTTTATTAAGTTTATGATTCTTGTTTCTTTCAAGTATATCAAGAGGCCTCAAGAGGAATATGAAAACAATTACATCTCCAGGTTGGAGCAATGTGGGTTTCAGTATTTCGTAGTACCTCTGGAAAAGGAAAAGAGGTAAGTGAAACAGTAAAAGATGGCATGGTGAATTTTGACAAACTCAAAACCAATCTAAATCAAGAATGAAATAGGTCAATTTATTAAATTTGTAGTTTCTATAACTCTTGGCTAACTTAACCCTTAATGTTTTTAACCCTTAGACTTTACCCTTGCATTAAATACATACACCCCTTAGCAAACTCATTTAAAATACCCAGTGTGTCCTTCAAACTTGCCTGATGATTAAAACTTAAAGGACTTAAAGCAAATTAAAGGAGTGAGGATGATGGTGGCCTTCCCTGCCATGAAAATTAATTATCTCCAGCACAATGGGAAATACCCCTATGTCATTCTAGAAACTTACGTTTCATTCTGCTCTGGTCTTTCAAATCTATGAAAAGCATTCTTCTTAGAGTGCCATGAATTTAAGCAATGGTATTTTGTAAACATCTGATGGCTTGGAGCAGCAGAGTCAGTATTTTTTTAAAGTCTGAACATCTGTCCAAATGGTGTAAGGCATTCACATCTCTTCATACTATCAGACCAAGGGGAAGACTGTTTAAAGTAAACACATTAAAGAGTTTTTAAACTACTACATAGTAACAGTTGCTTGATATTTTGTTGTCGTTTGTATACAATTCACTGTCATAACACTGAGAACTCAACAAAGTTGGCTAACTGGAGTGTTTTGACAGAGGGTGAAATAATTAAATTGATGTAGAATGTAAACAGTTTACATTCAAACCAAATTCTCAGTGGTTGATTCTTTTTTTAATGTGTACCATTTGGCTCCTTTAAAAATGAATTTGAGAAGAGTCAACCTTTAATATTTAAACCCAAAGCAAATGACAATAACTATCCCTGATTAAAGATTAATCTTAATTCAGCCAGCAGTTCTGTAAGCCTTTCTTCTACTGAGCACTCCTTGATCCATCCCATAATAAAACCCTACATTCTGAAATCCTCAATCCCTGCCCATATAATTAATTCATTTTCCAGATTTTTAATCAAGGACATTCAGTAGCCAATAAAAAATAACCAGTATGTCTATAATGCACCAATATTCTTTATGCCAAAGCAAAGACACCTGATATTTTAGTTACTGTGACCTTACAGAGGAGAAATGCAGGCTTTCTACTAGGTGATGGGATTTTTTTTGTTGTTTTTTCAATATGGAAAATAATTTGTAGACTACCACTGAACCTCTATGGCAACTTAGTGATCCAGGATCTCTGCTAGAGAGATCACCAATTATGAAGGTCAATTTTTTTCATCGTCCTCTATGAAAAATTTTGCTTACAGACCCACCTACTATTTATACAGGCAAACAGGAGAAAATGTTTACTAGTTTTATGTAGCTCTCACTGAAGATGCTACTTCCAGATATATAACAGTAAGTTTTGTGGTGGACAAGGAAAGAGGTGATATGATCAGTGAGCTGTGCATTCATAAAGCCCAGTATTCAAGTTCTGGCTTAAAATAGTGACTCCTAGCTATGTAACTGTGCAAATCACTTCATCTCTCTAAGACTCAGTTTTTTCATGAGGTACAAGTGGGCTGTTTTGAGTTTAATGAGATAAAAATATACAAAGCCCAGCACATAACAGAGCCCATAATATATGTTTCTTTCTTACCCATGCCCTTTAATAATAAATCTACTATAAAATGAGGCACTTGACATTTTCAGAATTAAAAAAATAATACCATTCAAAGCCATTTTCTCAGTCATCCATTGGAGTCTGCTTGTATAAATAACTGCAGTCTCACAAGTTCATTAAGTTCATTAGCTCTCTGCTGTACACAAATTGATTTCATAATCTAAATACCCTCAACTTGAAACCTGGAAAAGAATATGAGAGCCTCTATCAGCAGTGGTTTCACTGCTCATTGGCTCCTGGAACATGGGTACAGGCTGAAGAAGGGCTGCCAGGGCCAGAACCCAGCCTTCAGAGGACTCCAAGGAACATTCAACGCTGTCGGTGAGTTTGGGATTTGAAAAAACCACCGACCGTTGACTGTACCTTGGGGTCCTTACAAACAACACTACATTTCCTGAAGCAAAGGAGCAGGTTGTATGTCACATAAGATCACCAGAACCAGTCCTGCTGCCTGTCCTCCAAACGTGGTCCAGTGAGTTTTTTAAGAGCTCCCCCTATTTCTATTGCCCACTGTTCCTTGCTTTGTGTTGTGTTTTTGACAAACAAGTGTTTCATTTCAACAAGATAAGAACTCTACTATAATACCTAATGTACTTAAAAATGTCCCCTAGAAATATATCAGGATATAGCAAGAGAGACATTAAAAATATGTATTTCGGTTTTGAGCGAAATCCAATTAAGTATTTTACACGCATTTCTCTCACATCCCCTCAAAACTTTAATTAAGGGCAAGAGAAGGATTTAATAAGCAAAAATAGCACACAACTGTCTAAGGTCTGTACAACTCTTATCACATTCTACCTCCAATTACAGTTAATGTGGTTAAATTTTGACAGCTGTTAGAATGTGAGCTGTTTGAAAGCAACTATTGCCTCACTATTTCTATCCACGCATATGCTTATATAAATGTTTGCTAAATGCAAGTAAAAAGTCAGGTCTGGAGTCAGAGATCTGGGAGGAATCTTGGTTCAACTCCCTAACTAGCTATGTGACCACAGGCAAGTATCTGAGTTTCCGTTTTTTCATGGAGTTTTGAGATTCAACGAGATCATATATAAAGTGCTTTGTACCATTCCAAGCACACAGCAAACACTCAATGTATGTAAACTACTATTATTATTTAACCCAAAACAAAACCTGTGCTAATTTACCTTGAAAAGTACTCATATTTCTCAGTCCAAAACAGAGAGGAAGAGCCAGGACCCTCAACTCTTGTTGGTATCTACGAGGTATGCAAGCGCTGCCTGTGTGGTCGCAGAGCTACCTGTTAGCTTCTCCATGAGCTCCTTCTAGTCTCTGAACCATAGCTTCTCATTGTAAAGAATCTCCCAGCTCTAGTATCAATGTTACCTATAATTATATGGGCCCTCAATCATTGGCTACTAAGAGAGATACCAGATCTCAAAGAACCAGTGTGGTAAAGAAGAGCCAGGAATCCAGGAGGGCCAAGGCAACTCTACCAAATGGAAACACTGATGGCTGCACTCAACATTCATTGCTGTCGGTGGGTTTGAATCTGAATCAACTCACTGATCAATGAATGCAAACTGCGGACCAAACAACCTAAGGGAAGCAAAAGCAGTCACCTGAGTGCATCAGCTACCATGCTGGGTGGGAGCTGCTGCTGTCTCCAACACACCAGCTAAAGCCTCTCTTGCTCTCTTTGATTCTAGTATGAAATAAGTACTCTAAGTTCCTAGTGCCTTACTTTTTCTTATTTTTAAAAAATGTTCTAGAGTAGGGTTGCCTGGGTGGCTCAGTCGGTTAAGCGTCTGCCTTCGGCCCAGGTCATGATCCCAGGGTCCTGGGATCGAGCCCCACGTCAGGTTCCCTGCTGAGCGGAGAGCCTGCTTCTCCCTCTCCCTCTGCCTGCCACTCTGCCTACTTGTGCTCTCTGTCTGTCAAATAAATAAAATCTTAAAAAAAAAAAAAAAAGTTCTAGAGTTAAAAGAAATGGTACTTTATAGGAAGAACAAACTGTATACCTTGACATCACACTGTATTAAAAAAACCAATGCTTTCATAATTTTCTAAATTAAAAAAAATCACATACTCATTATTTAAAATTTAAATATTGAAATAAAGTAAAAATTAAATATCCCTTTCTTCATCATCTTCCATTTCCTCAATGGAAATCACCTATAAATAATAAGTTTAAAAACTTGCTATAATCAGTAATAAACTTATTTATATTATCTAGTATTATTAAAATAATAAATATCATAAACTATACACTTATTTTATGTCCTTAGAGACCTTCATCCACGCACATACAAATGGATATATATCTATAATTTTGTGGGGCTTTTGAGAGGTGACTTAAACAAAAATGAGCTCATTTTATATTTATTGCTTTTTCACTCAGCTATACTAGACAGCAATTATAGACAGCCTTCTGCAACAATCTTGCTATATTGTACTGGTTCTTTTACATGACTACATAGTATGCCCCAGTACGAAGGCCCTGGTTATTATTATTCAAATGTACTTAATCTCTTTTGACCAAAACTATGAGGCTCATTCATTCTGACCTTTGCAAACCATGTCCCTCAAACAGGAGAAGAACCTAAATGAAATGGGAAATGCCCATCATTTTTCTAAACAAAATGTAAAATGTAGTACCAATTCTCTGACTTCTATAACATGAGATGAGCCACTGAATCTTTCATGATAATGATAGGAAAACAAACCTTGGTCACCAATAATTTAATCATACACTTAAGTCTGAGAGAAAAACAGATTCTCATAGCAAAAGTCAAATTAAATAAAGCAGTAGGAAAAGAGTCTTATCAAGTTAGCATCCAAAACCAGGGATAAGAAGAAAGTAGAAGTACAGGTGTAGTGACACAAGAACTAAAAAGAAAATCAAAGCCGAGAGAAAATGCAAAAAAATGACAAGAATTCAGGAGAAACAGAGGGTTCAGGCCAGTGTTTCCCAATCTGGTTGTATATCAGAATCATCTAGACCAGTTGCTTTAAAAAATGCAGATTCCTGAGTTCTACCCTAGACCTGATGTAGGGTCCTAGAATCTGTATTTTATTATACCAAGCATTCTAGGCATTATTTTTCTTTTTTAAAGATTTTATTTATTTGACAGAGAAAGACACAGCGAGAGAACGCAGTGGAAGTGGGAGAGGGAGAAGCAGGATTCCTGCGGAGCAGGGAGCCCAATGTGGGGCTCGATCCCAGAACCCTGGGATCATGACCTGAGCCGAAGGCAGACACTTAACGACTGAGCCACCCAGGCGCCCCTCTAGGCATTATTTTTCAACCACCAATTAATTACTTCCAAATTTTCTGAAAACATTAGAAAAGAATGTCCAACACGTTCTTTGAAAAATGTATACCTGAACAAGCATGCCACTTATTTACTTACACAGAGAATCAATAGTCTTTAAATATGCCAATAAAAAAATAACCCATTTCAGCCACCAAAATCCTATGCAGTTTCTCTTGGATAAAGCTAAATGCTACATGGGCGCCTGGGTGGCTCAGTTGGTTGATCATCTGCCTTAGGCTCTGGTCATGATCACAGGGTTCCGGGATTGAGCCGCGCCCCCCACCCTTGTCAGGCTCCCTGCTCCGCGGGGAGCCTGCTTCTCCCTCTCCCTCAGGCGGCCACTACCCCTGCTTGTGCACTCTCTCTCTCTCTCTGTGTCAAATAAATAAATAAAATGTTTTTTTAAAAAACCCAAACAACAAAAAACTAAATGCTACAGGAAGGGAAATAATTATGTGAGTTTAAGGGTATTTTTTGCAGCTAAGACTGTAAATAAATACACGCAATAGAGAAAACATGTGGCATGTATAGGGAACATAAGGAGAATGGTCCAGAGATTATTTTAGGGAGTCATGAGGAGCAGCACTGAAAAGGTAAAAGGACAAATTACAGAAGACCTTGTGAGCCAGGGAGAAATATTTAGAATTAGTGCAACAGGGAGCCACTTTAAGCGCTGAGCTCCAAAAAGAGATAATGAAACCAAGACTTTGAGAAGATTGACCAGGTATATGAAGCGGGAGGAAAGGAAGAGAGATGTGAAAGAGACAAAAAGAGAGAGAAAGGAGAGAGAGAGAGAAATCTGTTGCACAAATGAGCTGAACTAAAACTGAGGCAGCAGGAGTGGAAAAAAATAGAAAGGGTATCTCCAAAAGGCATTTTTGCTTTTGTTTTTGGTTGTTTTCTGTTTTTCAAAATAGATTTGTTTTCTTTTTTAGTACTATGTGGTCACTGAAAAAGTCATACAAAAGAGAGAAAATTAAAGTACACTAGTTGGCCCCTTCCCATCATTCTGTTGCATGTATAATATCCTCCCAAATAAATATATCAGAGATGTTGAAAATACATGTATTTGTATTTAGAGGAAAATAGCACAAATTATACATATTGTTCTGAAACCTTTTTTCACTTAAAATATTGTGGCCATCTTTCCAGGTCAATAGACCGAATTGGCTCAAACAGAAAAGACAGCAAGGAGTCAAGAATGGTGCCTAACTTTCTTGACTAATTAGGAGCCTGGACTGCATTAAGAAATGAGCAATTTTACTTTATTTTTTTAAGATTTTATTTATTTATTTGACAGAGAAACACAGCGAGAGTGGAAACACAAGCAGGGTTAGTGGGAGAGGGGGAAGCAGGCTTTCCCATGGAGCAGGGAGCCCGATGCGGGGCTCGATCCCAGGACGCTGGGATCATGACCTGAGCCAAAGGCAGACACTTAACGACTGAGCCACCCAGGCGCCCCAAGAAATGAGCAATTTTAAAATGGAAAAAAGACAAGCTCATTTTTTGAACAGAGGATGCACATTTGTGATTTACAAGCATAAAGCTAAGAGTGAATGAGCTAAGTACAGAAAGAAAGATTTTTCTTTTATCGAACACAAACAGTTACTGGACACATACCATGTACCTGGACTGCAACTGAAGCCAGAAGATGTGAAGGGAACCAAGTACATAGTGAAAATGAAAAGTACGTAACAGACCAAATTCTATGATCAAATAATTTCAAGTGTGAAAAGGTCTGCAAAAGGAAAATCAAGATACTATGGGAGCAAATAATAGAAGGAACCAATCCAGTCTTGAGGGTGAGAAAGGCCTGGGAAGTGACCACAAGAAAGTGACATTTAAATGAAGACTTGAAGGATAAATGTAATGACCTGGGTGAAAGAGGTGGGGTGAAGATTCTGAGCAAAGGGAATGAATGGCATACCTACAGGCCAAAGGCGCATAGTACTTGCACCAAACTGAAAATATGGCTGAAACACACAAAAGATAGAGAAGAGGTCTGGAAATGGGGCTGGATAAGGTAGGAATTTAAAAAGTTACTGACAGTCTTGCAGAGAACAATTCTGGAGTGATAGTCACAGAAGAAAACAGATTTCTGGAAAGGTAGTGGTGAAGAGCTTGAGCTAAATAAATTCCAGCTACATGACTTATCAACTATGTAAACCTGGAAAAGTACTTACCTTTAAATCTGTTTCATCTGTAAATAGGAGATACGATAACAGTATTTGCTTCACAAGGCTACTTGTGAAGTAAGGATACATGTAAATTATTTCACACAGAGCTTGACACAACAAAATACTAAAATGTGCGTACACAAACATGTACAAGCAGACACTGACTGATAGGACGTAAAAAGCAGACTGAAGTTCAAACAGACTAGAAGCAAAAATGTTAACCACTGAAATCTTTAAGTTGTAGAATTAAAGGTGATTTTATGTTTATTATTTATAACTCATCTATGCCTTCCAAGTATTTAGCAATAAGCATAAACTATTTCAACAATTAAGAAAAATTATTTTTAAATGTCTTTTTTTTAAAGCAAAGATTTCTTTTAGATGCAAGATCTACCTATGTTTGGGTGAAAAGCAGATGGAAGAATCCACAGTGGAAAAGGAAGAAAAGATGGACTATTTTAATCAAGAAAGGGAACCTGTAGAAAGCACAGCTACAAGGATAGTAGAAAGTGACAGGCTCCAGGTCCATGTGGATGTGGTCACTTTGGAGGGCAGACACATCAGCCTCAGAGAATGAAAATGATGAAGGAAATTCCAGCCTACTTCTGTTCTCTCAGGCTGTATCTCAATAGGATCCAACTGGACCTTGTGATCCTGTATCTTGGCAAGGAGCCTGGCATGGAGTAGACACTCAGTAAATGTTTGTCAAATGAATTTCCTTATGATTTCTGGCACAGTTATATTTAAAACTCAGGAAGTGGCCTGCTCCTTGACCAAGCACTGGATACCTTCAAACCATCTGTGCCATGAATCATAGTTCCAACCCAGGTATAATTTTAATAACCACCAGATATCAGATTTGTCCTTGATTACTATACTTGCTATAGAACCCCTGAATTTACACTTTAGTCTAACTTCCCCTCCTTTTCTTCAGACTAAATCTACTGAAAACATGTGCAATCAGTCAAAATCACATGCCCCTTCTGCTCCTGTTCCCAGTAAACAGTTGAGGCAAAACATAGAGTATAAAAGATGTGGTTTAGGATATGGGGTCAGAAAACTTGAATTTAAGTCCAATTCTGCCATAGTTGTGTGCTCTTGGACAAGTGAGTCACCCTGTAAACCCTCCTTCTCTGTAAAATGAGGACTAAGGATACCTCTCCTATCTCACAGGATTACTGTGAGGCCTCAGCAAAACAAACAAAAAACAAAAATTAAAAAAAACAGTGAAAAGTACAGGACATAGCAATACAGCCCAAAGCATCCTAGTATGTGAGCCCACTCCATCCTCTTTCAGCAGACAAGATACCCTCATTCCTCAAATTCTCACCTACTTGTCAATCTGCAGCACATATTTGCAAGATGCCTAGCTGGGACTAATCTATAACCTGGGGCTGAAAGTAAGCATTTTTCTCTATATAAGTATCATCTGCCTAGACAGCCCATCAGAGCCACACTCCAAACAGTTGAGTCATTCTCCCAAACAAGGAGAAAATTCTTTCTGATGGACTTTAGTGAGACAGGGCATAGGGTAAGTCTTTGGGAGCAGGGCGGGTCTAGGCCTCCAAGTGAAAGACTAATATGAGACATCACAAATCAATAGGACATCACCTGACAAACTTAAAACCATTTTATTAGAAAAAAAACCCCACAAAACACTTTTTTCCAAAAGTCTCCAACCAATCTTAGGTACTTTTTAGTTTTACAACTTTACTTAGATTTAATTTATATACCATACAATGGATCCATTGTAAATGCACAATTCAATGACTTTTATTCACTCATTTATAGAGTTGTGCAACTAAGACTGCAATCCAATTTTAGAATATTTTCATCATTCCAAAACTCCCCTTGAACCTGCTTCCAATCAACTCTACTCCTACCTTTAGACCCAACCAATGATCTGTATTCTCTCTATAAATTTGCCTTTTCTAGATATTTCCTATAAATGGAATCATATAATACATAGTATTTTGAGTTTGATTTCTTTCATTCAGCATGTTTTTGAAGTTTATTCATGTTGTAGCATGTTAGTAGTTCATTCTTTTTTACTGTTGAATAGCATTCCATTATATGGATATTCCACATTTTATCCCTTTACCAGCTGATGGACACTTGGATTGTTTCCAGATTTGGGCTATTATAAATAATGCTGCTCTAAACATTCATATACAAGTCTTTGTGTAGACATACATTTATATTCCTCCTGGATAGATACCTAGGAGTGAAACTGCTGCATCATATGGTAAGTTTCTATTTAACTTTTTTTAGAAACGCATTGGGGGAGGGGCAAAGGGAGAGGGAGAAAACTTAAGCAGGCTGTAGAGCATGACACAGGGCTTGATCTCACAGCCCAGAGATCATGACCTGAGCTGAAATCGAGAGTTGGATGCTTAACCGACTGAGTCACCCAGGCGCCCCTATGTGCAACTGTTTATCAAATTTCCAAACTGACTTCTAAAGTGACTGTACCATTTTACATTCTCATGGCAATGCACAAGGTTTCCAGTTCCTGTACATCCTTACCAACACATTTTTATAGTTGTTTTGACTACAGCCACTCCAGAGGGTATGCAGTAGAAATTCATTGTGATTTTAATTTGCATTTCCCTAATAACGAACGATGTTGAACACCTTTATGTGATAAAATGTCTGTTCAAGCCTTTTGTCTCGTCTTTGATTCTTTCATTTATTTTTATTGTGATAAAATATACATAACACAAAATCTACCATTTTAAACATTTTTGAGTGTACAATTCAGTGGCATTAAATTCAAGACTGTGCAACCACCTATATACTTCCAGAATATTTTGTTTTATTTTTATTTTTTAAAGATTTTATTTATTTGACAAAGAGAGGCACAGCGAGAGAGGGAACACAAGCAGGGGGAGTGGGAAAGAGAGAAGCAGGCTTCCCAGCTTCCTACGGAGCAGGGAGCCCAATATGGGGCTCCATCCCAGGACCCTGGTATCATGACCTGAGCCCAAGGCCGATGCTTAACGACTGAGCCACCCAGGCGCCCCTTTTCACAATTTTAAACAAAAACTCTCTACCCATTAAACAGTAACTATTCATTCCACACTTCCCCTAAGCAACCTATTCTTTAATCACTTCCCCTATTTTACTTTCTGTCTCTATGAATTTGCCTATTCTAATTATCACATGTAAGTGGAATCATGAAAAAAAATAACTTTTATTTAAAAAAATAATTTTAAAAACTATCGTCCTCTGAGTTGTAAGAGTTCTTTATATATTTTGGATACTTTTTTTTTTTAAAGATTTTATTAGAGAGAGAGAGACAGCAAGAGAGGGAACACAAGCAGGGGGAGTGGGAGAGGGAGAAGCAGACTTCCTGCTGAGCAGGGAGCCCAATGCGGGGCTCAATCCCAGGACCCTGGGATCATGACCTGAGCCGAAGGCAGACGCCCAATGACCGAGCCACCCAGGTGACCCACTTTATAGTAATTTTTGAAACCATGTAATGAAAGTCCTTCCAATGTTGTGCTTTCTCAAAATTGTACTGGCTATTCTACTTTAGGTCCTTTGCATTTCCACATAGATTATAGGATTAAATTTCTTCAAAGAAGTCAGTTGGGTTTTTTTTTTTTTTTTTTAGAGAGATTACATTGAATCCATACATCAAATTGGGGATAATTGTCATTTTAACAATGTTTAGACTTATAATCCATGAAGATAGAATGTCTCTCCATTTATTTAGGTCTTTTTAAACTTCTCTCAACAATATTTTATAGTTTTTAGTGTACAAATCTTGTTAATTCTTTTGTTAATTTATTCCTATGTTATTCTTTTGATGCCAATCATGAATGGAATTCTTTTTTTACTTTCATTTCTAGATTGTTGCTAGTATACAAAAAAATTGATTTTTTGTGTATCTGTATCCTGTGACCTTGCTTAAACTCAGATCTATTTGGGGGTTTTTTTTGTGAATCACTTAGGTAATTTAGATGCCTCCCCATCCTCACCCCATTGCACTAGGTAGAACACTCCAGTGAAGAAGTCGTAGGAGTAGACTTAAAAGTGGACATTCTTACCTACTTTGTTCCCAGTCTTAGGGGAAGAGCGTTCATATTTCACCATTAAATATTACGTTAGCTTAAGCATTTTCACAGATGCCCTTTATCAAGGTACAGAAGTTGCCTACTCTTCCTGGTTTGTTGCGACATTTATCATGAATGAGTGTTGGATTACATCAAATGCTTTTCCTGTGTCTACTATGTGGGTTTTTGTTTTAAACCTTTTATTAATATGGTTTATTACAGGACAGCAAACTATGACCTGTGAGCTAGCTATTTTGTTTTACTGAAACAGAGGCACATCCACTTATTTACATATTGTCTATGGCTGTTTTTGCAGTACAACAGCAGAGCTGAGTAGTTTCAGCAGAAACTGTAATGGTCCAAAAGCCTAAAATATTTACCAACTAGCCTTTTTCTCTAAGAGAACATCTGCTGATCCCTGGTATGTTACATTGGTTTATACATACTAATCCAACCTTGCATGCCCGGGATAACACCAATTGATCATGATCCATTTTTCTATGTTGTTAAATTTGGTTTCCTAATATTTTATTAAAGATTATGGTGTCCGTATTCATAAAGGATATTGGTCTGCAGTTTTCTTATGGTATCTTTGTCTGGCTTTGTTAACAGGGTAATAGTGTCCTCATAGAATGAGTTGGAAAGTGTTCTTCCCTCATCTACTTTCTAAAAGAGTTTGTGAAGGATTAGTTTCAGTGCTTCTTTAAATGTTTGACAGAATTCACCAATGAAGCCACTTGGTCTGGGCTCCGCTTTGCAGTAATATTTTTAATTATCGATTCAATTCTTTAATTTTTATAGGTCTATTCATATATTCTATTTCCTCTTGAAACTGGTTTTAATAATTCGTGCCTTAGGCATTTGTTCTAGGAATGTGTCCACTCCATTTAAGTTGTCTAATTTGTTGAGAGAAAGTTGTTCATGATTTTCCTTTACAATCCTTTTAACTACTTTCGAGTGATCTCCTTGCTAAACTCAATTAGTTCCACTTGTTTCTAATATGTTGTAAATATGAGATTATATCATTTATGTAAAAAGTTTTAATTCTTTAATAATTTTATTTACAAAAATAACTGTCCCATATGTCATAGTTTGTTGACCTCTGTACCATGCCATGTTAATAAAATATATATTTTTTTAAATCCCAAAATGATCACCTTGCTTTGGGTTTGGTTTCTTATCTAGTTTCTTTCTTTTTTTTTTAAGACTTACTTGAGAGAAGGGGGAGAGGCAGAGGGAGATGGAGAGAGAAACTTAAGCAGACTCCACAGATCCCACCACCCCAACATCAGGAACATCTTTATCTAGTTTCTTAAGGTGGAAGCCTAGATTAATGCTTGAGACCTTTTTTCTTTCCTAATATAGTTATAAACTTAAAAGTTATAAATTTTCTTCTAAGCACTGTTTTAGCTGCATTCCGTGAAATATATTTTCATTTTCATTTAGTCCAAAATATATTTAAATATATGTATATATTTGCCTTAGGATTTCTTCTTTGACCTATGGGTTATTTATAAGTATGCTATTTAATTTCAAATATTTGGAGATATCCTAGATTTCTTCCTGTTATAGATCTCTAATTCTGTTGTGGTCATAAAACATACCTTGTAAGATTTCAATCCTTAAAAATAATTGAGACTTATTTTATGGCCCAGAATATTCTTAGAGACTGTTCCATGTGCCCTTAAAAAAATGTATATTCTGCACAGAGTATTCAATAAATATGAGTTGGTTGCCAGTGTTAAGTCTTCTGTAACCTTCCTAATTTTCTGTCTAGTTCTTCTATCAATTATTGAGAGTCGGGTATTAAAATCTGTAACTATTATTGTTGAATTTTTTATTTCTCTTAATTGCTGTCAGTTTTTGTTTCATGTATTCTGGTGCTGTTGTTAGGTATATTTTTATAATGGTTATATTTTCCTCATCTTGATCCTTTTATCCTTATGAAATGTCCCTCTCTCTAGTAATATTTCTTAAAGTATATTTTATCTGTTATTTATATAGTCACTCCAGCTCTCCTATGGTTACTATTTGTATGATCTATTTTTTTAGCATCTTTTTATTTTCAACTATTTATCTTTAAATCTAAAGTATGTCTCTTATTGACAGCATAGAGTTGCATCTTGCCTTTTTATCCAGGTTGATAATCCCTACACCTTTTGAATAGGCAGTTAGTCCATCTACATTTGATATAATTATTGACATGTTTGGATTTATGTATGCCATTTTGCTCTTTTTATTTATTTTTTTTAAGATTTTATTTATTTGACAGAAAGAGACGCAGCGAGAGAGGGAACACAAGCAGGGGGAGTGGGAAAGGGAGAAGCAGGCTTCCTGTGGAACAGGGAGCCCGATGTGGGGGCTCTGTGGGGCTGATCCCAGGACCCTGGGATCATGACCTGAGCCGAAGGCAGACACTTAAGGACTGAGCCACCCAGGCACCCCTTGCTGTTTTTATTTCATGTCTTTGTCTTTAGCCTCTATTTCTCCATTGCTATCTTTTTGGGTGTGAAAAATTTCTGGTATATATACCATTTTAATCCCTCTGTTGACTTTTTCACAATTATTTTTTGTTATATTCTTTGTGGTTGCTCCAGGCATCACAAATCTTTTACTTATCACAATCTAGCTTAACTCCAGGAAATACAGAAACCTGCTCCAATATATTTTCTATTCCATCTCTCTCTCTCTTTTTTTTTAAGATTTTATTTATTTGGGGCGCCTGGGTGGCTCAGTCATTGGGCGTCTGCCTTCGGCTCAGGTCGTGATCCGAGAGTGCTGGTATCGAGCCCCGCATTGGGCTCCCTGCTCCGCGGGAGGCCTGCTTCTGCTTCTCCCACTCCCCCTGATTGTGTTCCCTCTCTCGCTGTGTCTCTGTCAAATGAATAAATAAATCTTAAAAAAAAAAAAAAAGATTTTATTTATTTGAAAGAGAGAGTATGAAAGAGCACAAGCAGGGGGAGCAGCAGAGGAAGAGGGAGAAGCAGGCTCCCTGCTGAACAGGGAGCCCAATGCGGGGCTCAATCCCAGGACATGACCTGAGCCCAAGGCAGCCACTTAACCAACTAAGCCACCCAGACGCCCTTCCTATTCCATCTCTTTTATATATGTGTTATAAACTCAACAATACAGTATTGTAATTATTCTTTAGACAATCTTGTCATTTTAAAAATTAAAAGAATAATATAAAAATATAGTTGTATTTAACTATACACTTACCATTTCCAATGTTCATTTCTTCTTATGGATTTGAGTGACCATTGCTGTCACTTCCTTTAGTATTTTAAGGCAGGTCCGCTATCAACAAATCCTCTGCCTTTTTTATGTGGGAATGTCTTTATTTTGCCTTCAGTTTTGAAGAAGAGTTTTGCTAGATAAAGAAATCTTGGTTAATGTTTTTTTTTCCTTTCCACATGTTAACTACGTCATCCCACTGCCTTCAGACCTCCTTGCTTCTGATAAGAAGTCAGCCGTAAATCCTATTGTTATTCCCTTGTATGTGATGAATCATTTTGTTCTTGCTGTTTTCGAGGACGGTCTCCTTGGGAAGATTTTGGCCTCTATTTTTTCTAGTATTTTCTGCTCTTCTCTCACTCCTTTCTTTTTATATATGTATATTCTTAGGTATACATTTGATGTTGTCCCACAGATCTCGGAGGCTCTGTTCATTGTTCAGCATTTTTCTGTTCATCATAGTAATTTTTATTGACGTGCCTACAAGTTCACCAATTCTTTCTTCTGCCATCTTAAATCTGCTGTTGAGTCCAGCCTAGTTAATTTTTCATTTCAGTTACTATAATTTTCAAATCAAGCACTTTCATTTTGTTTTCTCTTAAAATTTCTCTTTGAGATTCTTTATTCATTCATTGTCATCATAGTTTCCTTTAATCCTTTTAGCATGATTCCCTTTATTTCACTGAAATATCTCTAATAGGGGCTTTGAAGTCTTTGTATGCCAGATACAACATCTGGTATCACTAGAGACAGTTTCTACTGATTGATTTTTTTTTCCTGAGTATGGATTACACTTCAATTTTTTGCATGTCTTTTAACTTTTTTGTTGAATACTGAACATATAAAGTAAGGTACTACTCACAACTCTAGATTCTGAGTTTTTCTCAGCTAAGGTTTTGTGATGGTGGTGGGTTTTTATTTTTACTAACTTTCCAGGAATAAATCTGTGAAATCTGTCTCTCCTAC